TATATATATATATACACACACACACACACACAAAGAAAAACAAGTAGATAGAATAGAAAAAATAGAAAGCTAGTGTTTTTTTGTTTTTGTTTTTTAAATAAAAAAGAAGATAAATAGATAAAGTAGAATTAAAATAGAATAGAAAGTTACATACGCAACCGAGACGTTTCATGTTCACTTTTAAGGCAGAATAAAAGTATGTTACCCAGAGCTGGAGAGGCAGTTCCAGAGCCCCTGACCATGACTCCAGAGAAGACGGTTAAACACGTGGTTGAAAAGGCGAAAAAGACGTAAACTCTCCACATCCGGTTCACTCCAAATCCTCTGCAGCACCCAGCAGATGTTGGTACGAACAATATCCAAAACCTGAAATAATCAGATAAATAAAAGTATCTAAAAGAGGTCACAAATAGGCAGATTACATAATGTTGGGGAAACTTAAAAATCGAAAACTTCAAAATTGTACTTCAAATAGAAGACCTCACAGAGACAGAATCAACATGAAAACCAGAAATTTATATTAAATACAGCAAAACTATGGATCCCACTAATGTATTGTATATAATGGAATAAAACATATAGTTATAAATACAGTAACATAGTTTAAATAAATTTTTACTGTATTTTGCAGAAACTTCTTTGAAATGAATCAGTGCATCATTCACTGAAATTAATTGTCCTAACGAACCAATTTGCTAAAATGAATCAGACTTCCCAAATATACTGGAGGGGTATGGATTGTGAACAGTAAAATTCAGAAGAAGAGTAATGGCAGGAGTCTCGGCGATCTTCCTCTTCCCCCTTCAGCTCCCTCAGTTATTCTGCTCGTCGACATCTGTGATGTGACTTTCAACAATATGTCTGATTTAATGGCCTCATATGAGACATGTTAACTCTATTCTGATTGATCCCTCAAACTTCGGCTGATAATCAGCTTGTGGAATGAGACAATCCCTCATTATATCAGTCTGCCATGCCCACCCTACAACGTCCACCCTACTGCGTCAAATCAAAACACCTGTAACCTGCTGTAACCACCTGTCGTTCACTACTGTAATAGCACTGAAATTGAGTGCCTTTGAACTGTTTCAATGTGTTGCATCATGTGTTCTGTTAAGGCAGATCCAAATGGCATTTTTTAAGACCTCCATTCTTTTTTTTTTTCATCCACCATCCAGTTTGGTCACCTGAGACTCAGCTGAAAATCGCCAACTTATCAAAAAGTAATTGAGTGTTTACTTTTTCACCTTGCATAACTTCATGCATATTTAGTCCACTCACCTTCCTTTGTTTGGTGGCATCTAACTTCACCAGCCAGTAAGACGCCACTTTTGGTTTATGGTATTTCCAGTTGTTCAGAATCTAAAGGGGCAAATGACATTCATTGTATTATTGTAATATGCATATCTATCTATCTATCTATCTATCTATCTATCTATCTATCTATATCTTTACTGCAGGCATCTTTGTTTCATTTTACAAACACAAGCACCTTGAATGAGATCAGTCCATTCACACTGGTTCTCTCCCCACATATTGGAACATTGATCTGAATGTCTGAATATATTTACATCATTTACATTATCAATAAAATATGCTCACTCTCCTCACTGAATCCCGGTGGCACAACACGCACCAGTGAACGCCGCTTCTAGTGAATACATTCTCGTACATGCCACTAAAATGAGTAGATGAACTATGTCCATGTTTTGAGTGTGAGATGATGGCATAAATATGGTCATATTTATCATTTATCTTCCTTATCATTAATAACTCATTTAGACTGTGAATTAAACCAAAAACATCAAAAATATTAATTACAAACATTTACGTTTATTTAAAAAGCATTTTTTTTTTTTTCACCAAAGTGTCAGTGAAACAAGATACTTAACCTTCAAAATGTTGATCATCAATCTCAGAAGGTCAAACTAAATGTTATATTATTCTTAAACTTATTTATCACTGATAAATGATATCATTTATATCATTTATATCACGTGATAAATAAAGTTTAAGAATTAGCAAGTATTGATAGTGTGTGGGTTCGTTACTTATTTTTGATTCAACTGTTTGTTTGATTTTGTTCCCATGCACCTATCGTCGTTTCAGGCATGCTGAGTTTACGTTGATTCCATAAATTCAATATAAATATTTGTTTTACCACATTATATTTACAATAACTAACAGTGATAGAGGGTTGAATGCTTAACAAATGCACTTATCACTCCAATTTGTTATTTTTCTTCCTGTTAGACTGTAGAAAATTGTTACTTCCTGGTTTAAAGTTTGTAATGTCTTTTTAATCAGTCTTGCTTTATATGTATTGTTAGATACAGCAAAGAAAACTAGTCTATAACTATTTCAGTTAGTCTTTGTTGTGCTCTTCTTTTTGTACATTGCCAGGCTTTTTAAAAATATATTATTTAGTGGCTATAGCATTCTACTGTAACTTTGCAAATACATGTCAACTAACTCTCATTAGAGTATTAGTAGACTGTTAAGTTACGGTTAGGGTTAGTAGAATAAGCTGACATGTACTTGCAAAGCTACTTATAGTCAGTAGAATGTCTGAAGTGGTCTATCAAAATGAAGTGTTACCTTAAAGTCTTCAGCTGAATACAATAAGCAATTTATCCGATGTTGACAAAGAATTTTTATTTACAAATATTGTACATATTGTAGAAAGCTGTAAAACACACGGACCATTCAACAGTCTGTAGGCGGGTTTATTTGTTGATTGATTGATTGACTGACTGACTGACTGACTGACTGACTGACTGACTGACTGACTGACTGATTGATTGATTGATTGGTTGATTGATTGATTGATTGATTGCCAAGTGCAATGTGAACTTTATCTGTTGGCCAACACCCTAACTATGCACTATATTGGTAAGATGCATCCTTACCTTCATAATTTTTTCTGCCTGTTTCATTTTCAGTTGTGTCTTTATGGCTGTCATTATATAACGTGGTGCAACATATTCCCATCCTTTAGCTTTTTAATTTAATAATATGTTGGTACAGCCATGTTACTCTCATACTGTAATGTATATGCAATATAGGATATACTGTCGAAAGTTGTTGCATCATTTGTTCACTAGATAATACATGCATGCCAAGATAAATGTAGTGGCTTAACATACCGGAGTGAAGGGTAATGAACAATTTTCTCAGACTGTGATGATGAGTTTCCACAGTTATTAGCATCACAATTCTAGCAAAGCTTTTTTATACTTTCATTTTGAAAAAAAAAGTACAGTACATTTATAACTGTACTTTGTGTTATATTACCTTCGCATTAAAAAAAACATAAAACTGTGATTCTAATACAACAGCTGAGGGAGTGACAGCAAATTTGACATCTTTCTCTCCTCTGATCAACGTAATCAATCTCTCTATATTTTTTCCTCTTTTGTAAAGTCATAGAAATGCTATATTAGATATTTTATTTTGCTAATAGAGCAAATGGTCATACAAAAATTACATTTATTGCAGTTTCCATTCATCACTATAGAAATTAACCAACCATGACAAGTTCTGCTTCTGAGAACCCTGAAATTGTGAGAATGGTCAATGATATTCATTAAAAAAAATGTCCCTGCATTTTACAAATAATTGATACTTATGCGTTTAAATATTTCAGACAGCGACCAAAACAACAGCTTTATTTGTACCTCAGCCCCATCCCGGGTTTTACTCTCTCACATCTGCACTTATAAGTGCACAAGTGAGTTTTGCAAACTCACTCAAAAGTAATAGTGAACATGAAGGCGCTAAGATTGTACTGTAAGAGGTTGTAAGTGCTGACCAGTGGTTGCGAGACTAAAACAAAGTGCAAAAGTAAATATACAATATACATTTGTGTATATTTTTTGTTTATGTGAATGTCATTTTACACATTTGTAACTATTTTACTGCAACTTTGAAATTAAGCCACAGGTGTTTTGATTACTGTCTATATGCAAATCAAAGCATACAGCATTTTACATAAGAGCTACAAGTGTAAATTTTAACTTTAACAAGTTCTCAAAATTAAAATCTAAAAGCTCTCAAGTTTTGCTACTCTTTTACCTTCATAGGGGTCGGGGTGTTTTCAGGCATTCAATGTGTTTTAAACTAGCTACTTTTCACGCTAGGTTAATTTTATGTTAGATAAGAATTTACCTAACACACCTAATAGTGTGCCTCTAATGGTTTAAAATTAAATAATCACCAAAGTGTACCGTATTCATGGAAGGCGCCAATTACAATTTCACAGCTCTGGTAATAGACCGGCATCAGTTCAATTGTGCTTCTCCTGCTAAATGCTGTGTTTCCATAATTGTTAATGTGCAGATGTACGCCAGATCTATCGCGTGAAAGTAATAGTGTAAATGAATGCTGGAAAGTGTCTTAAACAGGTGCTGTTGGCCAGCTGTGTTTCTGCGCAGACAGCTAATGGATCTCATTAAGCATACAGGTGGACGGCTAATGACTCTACATACAACGAGAGACGCTGCGAATGGCTCGGACGTCCTCAAATTAGTTCGGGGAATGAGGGGAACAGAGCAGCCGGTTCGCCTGCCCTGACCAAGCACTTTCTCTCAGCTGCGCATCTCACCTCATCCAACACGGCTTCGGCCTCCTCCTCACTCTTCCCCGGGTAACGAATCCTCATCTCCCCGAGCGCAGCCAGCGTCTGCTGCATCAGCGCGGCCTCCTGCTCTTTACTCAGCGGGGTCTCCTCCTGCACCCGAACATGCAAAGAACCAACACAATAAAGATGAATCACTGAGTGGGACTTCTTTTCTCTGCAGTCATCAGGTTTGTTTCGGCCATCGCAGCAGTGCAGAAGAAACAACAGTGATCTTTATGTTTCAGAAGTAAGGTTTCAGGAACTGAGCAATAGTTTTAAAATGTCAGAATTCACATGTCAACATCTGATTGATTCTATTCATGTCAAAAATAGTATTTAAAACTACTGAATCAACCTAAACACATTAGGTTACACCACCAAAAATTAAGCGTTAGCGTTAGTTCTGGCAGGTCACGTGAGTCAAGCTTGCATCAGCTGATCACATCTACCTATAGGAATATGACACCTATCGCAGCATTCCTATATAAGCTCTATTCAGTATTATTCAGCAGCTTTTCAGCTTGCTCCGGAGCAAATTATCCTCCTCCATCCCCAGCTCCTCCTTTCGCCACAGTCAGGACTTGGCTTTCTGATATTCCTCGCTAATCAGACTCCTTTATCTTGAATAAAGTGTTACACTTAAATATCATTAAGTACATTAATGATATCTGCCTTGTTCTGTTCTGTTAACCCTAGGGGGGTTATTATTGCTGCTCTCCCTGCTCATTCATGACAGGCTGCATGGATGGGCAGGGAGGTTTTGCCCAGAACAGAACCATAACGCCAAACCAAACTTTATGCTACGTATCTATCATTTTGACAATAGTGGTCCTGACAGAACTAAATTTAAGGGTTAGATCAGATACAGTAGCAATAGCTCCTTAAGGTAACAACTGCATGTTAATGTAGAATATAAACCATAAATTAGGGCTGCCCCCTAATAGCGGATACTTGCTCTTAAAATACTCCGTCATTTTGGTTATACGGATATAAAATAATGAACGCAAACAGGATGCGCTTTCAGCCGTCTCGGTCTCTGTGAACTTGAGCGTGAAACTCCGTGTATACTTGCCTTACAGACATGAAAAACATATCTAAAGAGAGTGAAATGTCTACTTTCAAATGAAACAATTCAAATCTGAAAAAAACAAATATTCTCAGATTATGTAATTCGTATGAAACTTGCATGCAGGTGCATCCACTACTGTGGAGATGACGAGTCAGTGTTGCCGAATTCATCTCTTAAGCCGAAAACACTAGTTTATCAATAGATTATTACAATGTTAATGCAGTTTAATCTGACTGTTTTTCCCTGACACATTCATCATCATTACTTCTGCCGGTGTGCTGTGGCAAGCTTTATGCATGCGCTTGAGCGCTTATTAGGCTATGTAGGCAATTAAAGGCTCATTAGCATGATTTAAATGATTTATTAATAAAAGTGCAAGTAGTCGAGCAATGCTTAAAATGAACGACTACTAGTCGACCAGAAAAATCTTTAGGCGAGGGCAGCCCTACTATAAATTGTGCCTTCCAATCATTTATATATATATTATATTAAAAAGACAAGTTGGACTGGCTAGTTTAGGAAAAACAGCCAGGTGTCCAGCATACAGTACATACTGTAGGAACTTTAAAATCATCCTAGGATGTTTCTAATGAAGCTGGTTGCTTTTTTTACATTTGAAATAAAATAAAAAAAATTCAAAGTTTTGAATGTTTTTACTATTATTCTAAAATGTGAAAAACAGTAATACTAAAGAATCTGTAACTTTTGACGATTACTGTATATGTTTTCCTGAGATTTATCATATTCAAGGCTTCATATACTGAGCAAAAACTTTCTAAAGACTGAATGTGCCTATGGAGTCTTATCAGAGAACTACAAACACAGCACAAAATACAAATATAAGAAGAATAGAAAGAGCACAAATCCTAATTAAACAGGTTCCATTATTAGAAAATGAAGCCTTATTAACTTGATGATCATGCAGCCTATATACAATTATTCTGAAAAGTGCTTTTAGCTTTAGTAGTCCGTCTTGCTAAACACAATCTAAAGTCTTATTAAACAAAGCATAAGTGTGTGTGCTGGTTTTCCTGATTAATATTCCTTAATGAGAGTTTGAACAAGGGGGAGTGCTGGTATTCACGAGATGAATGTGCCCGTAAATACAGGCCCAATTTAGCTTCACACTCCCAATTTTTTCCACAATATGACTGATTTTCCTCTCCAAGGTGTGCCCTGGAGAGAGTGAGAGAACGAGAGTGGTTATAAGAGTAGGAGAATGAGAAGAAACTATCAGAGTATGAAAACACAGTGTGAGTGATTGTGTGTTTGTGCGTATGTTGAATCTATTGTTTGATGGATTAGAATGACTCAGGACAGCGATGGGAAAATAAAAATGATGTTTGTCATTTTCACAGGTGGTGTGTTGCCAGATCTTCTCTAAATCAGCCATCTTTGTGAACATCTGTTCAGATTCTCTAGAGGACATCTAAGGTAAAGAAAAAGATAGATGTGTCTGTGTAGATATGTATGTCTATGTTCAGGATGAAATACAAGTATAATCAGGGCTCAAAGAGAAAGGCCTGCCTGATGGCCCGGGGTCAGTGTAAAAAACGCTAAGGAGGACAGTAGACGGATTTGTCACTGGCCCAATCGAGGCACTGCTGTGTCCTCATGAAAGTTTATCATTTGCACATCTTTTTAAAGCTTTACCAATTTAAACATTCAGTCAATTTAAAAGCATTAGAAGACGCGAAAAGCACTCAAAGTGCAAGGCGATGCGAAAGAGAACTCCATTCAGCACTCGTGCGCTGTGTTCTGGCAATGCTTACTCTATGCCGCACAGACACCCCGCAGTAATGTCAATAGCAGTGACCAAAATGACTAATTTCCACTTATTTCCCATTAAAAAAACGATGTAGCCTTTTGCTTTATAGAAACCATTTTGGTGGGGGAAACATTGTTATTCTGCCAATTTTATGTAAAAAATCTCTTTACTTTGCTCGGTCCAATCATATATTGACATGCTGAAAACATATGACCATGTGAAAGAGAAGTTGATGAGTAAAAAAAAAAATAAAGAAAGAAAAAAATAAATACATTTTCCCCCAAAATCAAAACAAGAAAATGAATTGGTAATTGTAAAGTAATTGTATTCTCAGTGGTGATTTTGATTAGAATTCTTATTTCTGAAATATTTTTATTTAAATGTGCATATATTAATGGCAAGAACACTACCATGATATAGTAGCCTATAATAATATAATATTTATCATATCTTTTTTTTTTCACTGTGAATTGAGAATTTGAAAATGTGCTTAGCTGTCAATAATATAATGGCACAGTGCAAAAATCTAAAAACTCTAAATCTAATTTTCGTTACGCACAATTTACTTTATATTTCCCTATTTTCTGATTTATTGGGGTGTAAATTAAGCTGGAACTGGAACTTCCTGTTCATTCATCAAACTGGAAATCAAAGGTCAGGTTATTGCTTTGCAGGACACTTAATTCCACATTGTACTGCAAATTCAGACAAATGCAATCTTTTGACCGGGTAATCAATGCATATGGAATTGCAGTACACATACTGCATAAACAGAATGAGTAGTATGGTCATTTGTGAATATTCCCTGCATGTAATTGAGAGAAATCCTATACTTGCCGTATTGGGGTGAATGGCACCTAGACTGCTGCTGTGTGGAACTCTGTTTGTAGAGCTGTTTCTACTGAGCGAATGGGAGCGACATGCTGTGTGGGGTCGAATCGAGGTCATCTGCGTCATGGTGGCTGCAGTTTGAGCTGTCGCAGGCGATGCATTAGGCATGTGAGTGGCTGTTTTTGGCCACCTGGTCTCATTGGTAGGTGATTGCGCAGTCAGAGAGGATATGGAGCGCGGACAGGACATGGAGCGGCGGATGAGCCCAGAAAGATTGGGCGAGGAGGAAGGACCTCGCATTGGTTTAGGGGCAGGTTTCCAATGAACACGACCTAAAACAAAGAACCAAAGCATTTGACTTCAATTTAAAACACACTCACACACCCTCTTGGAAATTAAGTCTAGCATCTGAAATCTAATAACCGACAAAAAAGGCTTTAATTAATCACTTCACCATGTGATCATCCTGCAGGCCAGAGTGGCTGTCAGGTTTCCAACTCAGGGCGGACAGTGAATTGAAACACACATACAGACGAATCTACGATTTTGAATGACCTCCAGTTTGTGAGCTAGCCAGCAGCATCACCGCTTCATCCGTGAATCTTGAGGGAAGAAGTTGCCAAATGCGGCATTATAGCAGCTTAGCTCGGACTATCACAGATGGCCTCAGGGTAGTATGGGGCAAAGGGGGCAAACAATGTCACCCCAGAATAGCCCAATGCCCCCTCCGGCAGCAACCCAATCACCAGCGGCCCCTCACACACCAAATAAACCTGTCAGCTTGCTGCTTTGTCCTTCTTTCAGCAGCTAGTCATGACTTTTCACTGTATCAGGCATGGATAATCAATATACTGCACAATCTATGGCACTTTCCAAAAATAGGGTACAAACTGGTGCTCCATTATTGAACTATAAACATAAAATTATCATAGCATAACATTTTGGCCTGTCCCACCCCAGTTTGACACTTTCTTAATCTATTACGTTCTTGCCTGTTTCCAATAATTAAAACAAAATTATGATTTAAGCTGTTTAAAACTAACTGTTAAAATCATTTTGGAAAAGCATTGTTAATTATTAAATTACGTTAATTACCAGAATCATTATATTTAGCTGTATCCCACATTTTGTGCACAACCCTGTAACATGATTTTCCCCCATTAAAAATATTGCGTAAGACAAGTTAAGACTCAAGTTAAGGAAGTGCATTTGTACTCTTTTAGTGCAATGAGGGAAGTCAACAGTTTCACTGATTTTTTTTATTTATTTAACATTTTTACACAACCGTCATAATTGTACAGTTGAATAAATTCAGGCTCAATCATTCAACCATGTTATCATCCTATTATTGATAAATACATAAATAAAATTGTGTTTATTTAATTTCAAATATTTGAATGTAATTTAAATAGGTCTATTAATTGTTTATAGTAATAAAATTATTAAATTACACACATTTTAGTTTTAAACGGTTTTTAGACATTTCTTTCATTTATGTAACAGGGTTGCAAAAATGGCATTTTTGTCCTGAAGTTTTTTTTTTAACGTTTAGCAACTCCTTTCATGACCATTTATTGAAAAAGGAAAAATATATATATTTTTTTTTTTTGTTGTTTAACCATATTTGTGAAAAATCCTTTATCAGAGCCACACTGCTAAAAGTCACATGGAGTAATAGTGAGAGCAGCTTTCAAACTACTGTATACAGTGCATATATAAAGACTATGCGTGGGATGTTTGAGCTGCTGGACTCCAAGGCACACTCTGCTTCTAAAAATGTTTTTACTTTAAAACAAACATTTTTCGAGGCTTGTTTGCACAGTTTTCAAGGTACACCAGAAGTGCTCCTCTGAACTTCTCCCCAACCTGTGCTTTCCCCGAGCTGAGCATCCAGTCTCCCTTTAAACCAGTGGACTGAAACATCAGAAAAGCTCATTAAAGCTGCAGCGCATGAGAGCCGAGGGACCTCTCACGACATCACCTGCCGCAGTCAGCCAGTCAAATTAAGAGCCACTGCACTGGGCCAGCGAATACTGTGACCCTAATTAAAAAAGATGGATTTTCTCTGTTTCATGTATTAATTAGGTAAACAAATGCATTATGGTAGATTTACATCTGTAATTTAGCTTTGGCTCGGCAAACGGCACTGAAGATTTAATGTGTCTGGCTAGACAAAAGCCTGCTTAAAAGTTTAAGTCATATGCTGATCTTGCAGTCATCTGGAAACCATGGAGGGACAGATAGCACCTATAAAAGTGGTTCAGCAGCAGAAAGTCCCAGAACCTCCCAGTCTACCCTAATAGTCCCAGCCCACAGGTGATAAATAGCTTTTCCACTGAACAGACCCCTACAATCTACTGTTCTCGAAGTAGGAACAGATAACGTCAGAGGTCCAGTAGTGAGATCATGTCTACGCCAAATAAAGTTCTCAAAACAACAGCTCAGTCCAGCAACACTGACACAAAACAAAACTAGATCACTCCCATTACAATCATTACAGTTTTCTACCATCAAACAGTTTGATGCAACTGTGAAGTGTGTTCAAATAATAATAATAAAAATAAAAAACCATCTGTAAACTGATTGCAATGAATGTAACTTCTGACAGCTGCATCAAAATCAGTTTGTGATGATAAAAGATGTCAAATTTTTTGGGGGGATGCTAAATATTGTTATATTTGTGGCTTTTTACTGAATTTATTGTTGTTAAAAAAAAGATACAAAGTCAGTAAGGGTCAGTAAGATTTTTCCTAAATAAATAAAACTTAGCAAGGATAAATTAAATTGATCAAAAGTGACAGTAAAGAATTGGTTGCTAAAAAATTCAGCTTAGCCATCACAGGAATAAATCACATTTTTAAATATATTTCATAATACAAAACCGTTATTTTAAATATTTCACAGTATTACTGTTTTCACTGATTTCAAAAAAAATATCAAATAAGTATGGTCTGCATTATGTTCAAAAACTAAAAAAATCTTACTGAATACATATTTAACAAAATTCAGACCAACATAAAATTTAAAGTTACTGGAGCTTAGAAATGAGGTGCCTGTCAAATAGCAATCCGAGTTGTTGTTGTTCTGAAAACATTATGTCTGTAATGCGTAAATTAAACCTTTACATTCTCCTAACCTATGGTTTCTCTGGTAGGGTTCCAGATTGGGCACTGGAACCATTTTGAGAAAAACCGGCACCTTTTCTGTGGAAAAAGGGCTAAGAGAGGTTCCCAGACCTCTTTCTTTCATAGACCCAAGGACAGAACTCACTGGAGCGTTCGGGGCGATTGAGTTTCTCTTGCGTGATGCTGCTGCTCTCATCTTCTCCATCAGCGTCGGAACCAGAGCTGCTGTCGCTGCAACTGGGCAAGGAGTCTTCAGGGTCCCTGTGCCCTCGGGGTGTTGGGCTGCTCTCAGGCATGGATGACAGGACCTACAGACAAACAATCACATAAACACACCCGCAGGGAGAGATGATGAGAGAAGATCCTAGAAAAATGTCACTTCTGCAGCTTTCACCCCGAGTCCAATTAACGCTTGCCACTGACGGCAGAATGGAAGGGTGGCAGCGATGCACACCTGACGCACCCAGTCTTGATTAATGTCACTGCAGAAACATGTTCATTTGGTCTGAAACACATACAGTGCATGTCAGGGGAACTAATCTATTATGTGCTTCAAGAAGTATTGAACAATGAATCGAATATCTGTCTGACACTTGGGAAGTACAGACTATTAGCCTTCTGAATGCACTAATTTCACCTTTTCAACTGCAATTTGGCTCAAAGGCTTGTCTAAATTAACACTTTTGACATAATCTCCAACAGAGTTTTGAAAGAATCCAGATCCTGCTCTCCTTGGCATATTTAAGAGGAACTGCTTGTGACTGTTTCAATTGCGTAATTTCTGTCTAGTCAGGTTATTCTAGATGGCCCTGTAATGGCACTGTTAGAGTGTTCCAATCCATCAGAGCAGATACTGCTGAAATGAAACCTACATTCTGCTAAGTCAAAAGGGAACCAATTAATATAATTTCATGCCATACAGTATCTGTAACTGTCTGTAGCATCACTATGAGGGAATTTCATGAAAACTCATCATGAAATCTCATGCCTGGATTATAATTCACCTCAAAAATAGAAAGGGAATATAAATATAACCTATTTCCAATAGGTTGAGCAAGCAAAACCCATTCATTCATTTTCTCCATGGTTACATAGAAGTGTAAGGAAAACTTTCAAAACAGACCTAGAATGAGTGGAGTATGAAAATTTGTATAAGCTCTGTCAAAACACTCCATTATTGTTGTTGTTGTAGTTACTGCATTTTGCCTTTGTTGGGCGATACTCTTTTGTGAAGCCACAAGTCAGTGTGGTTTCACCAGTCAGAGAACCGTGAGAGTGGCAAAAGTACTCAGCGATGACCACCGACTCCCGTGAATCACTGTGAATGATGTAATCGAATTACTCTCCCAATATTCTCAAACTACTTATATATTTGCAATAACTTTGAAGTATACTATATTCCATACTTCTTTTTATAATCAATGACTTACAGTGGGTACGGAAAGTATTCAGACCCCCTTAAATTTTTCACTCTTTGTTATATTGCAGCCATTTGCTAAAATCATTTAAGTTAATTTTTTTTCCTCATTAATGTACACACAGCACCCCATATTGACAGAAAAACACAGAATTGTTATTTAAGGGGGTCTGAATACTTTCCGTACCCACTGTATACTCAGTAGCACTGCATCATTATATGATTTTGATTTGATTAGGTCATAATGCATGATGGAATACAAAATTCATTGCCTCTTACAAGATATTATAAAAGTACAGTCTCAAAAGAACTGTATTCCTGTAGCTCTAACTGTAAATGCCAAGATTATGGGTTCAAATGCATAAAAGTAAACATTTTTGCTTCAGATCTATTTTTTTTTTGTTTGTTTTGTTTGGTTCATGGCTTAGAACTCAAGAGAACTCTTTTCAATCAAGAGAAAATTAATAGGAAAAATATGAATATGAATGTCTTTGTTTACCTACAGTATATCTAGATATCTGTATATATTGGAGTGTATATGCAGTGTACCTTAGGACCTTTCTGTTTGGAGGTTTTTCCCATCAGTTTCTCATCATCCAGTTCACACTGCTCCAGGAGGTCTAGGATATCTTCCTCCTGCAGAACAAGTCACAAACAAAAGCAGAAGACAGTCTTCATTTTTCACATAACATTTTCTTGTGGATATGTACTTAGATTAGTACACTTTTGCACCTCACTGGTGATTTTACTGAATGTCAAAAGAAAATAAGTGAAGTGCAAGTTAACTTCATTCAGAATCCCTCCTTGTTTTGTGACTGGGAGAGTGTAAGAGAGTTAAGACAGAGAGGTTTCAATAGCATCTTTCATTTAAGCTTCGGGCGTATTGGGAAGTTTGATTTACTTCCATGAATCAGTTCAAACTGTGCGTTTGACTGAATTGAATAAAAACATTGATTGGACATTTGTTTTAATGCATTCCCTGAAGTAACTGTCTATTACTATGTGTTGATATATTAGTGCATATTGATATATATATATTGGTGATTACTTTTAACAATCAAAATATATCAATTTGCATATGGATTACATTTTTTTAGCTATTTTCCTATCATATGTCAACTCATTCTTTGCAAAATCAGGAACAAACACATAATGTAATTTTAGTGAGGTCTCCAAATTCCAAAATATTTTAAACACGTTATTATCTTGTCTAAACTATGAGTAATCAAATTGAGTAATTTCTGGAAAAAATTCTAAATCCAAACAGCACGTTGCATGACACCAAAACAATTTATTGCCATCAATCAAAGCGTGTTTAGCCCAAGTTCAGAAATCCATCTGGAATATGAATCAACCTCATTCCTCCTTACAAGTCACTGTATCTGAACCACACTTTGAATCTGGAACATCATAATCTATGTAGAATTTCTTCTTGTCATTTCTTTCAAATAAAGTACTCTGTAGTTGACTTTGAAGTATGGGGTCACTGTAAAATTCAATTTTCCTTGTATTACAGATTACATGACCAATTCATTTTCCATTATATTTTAAGAATTGCAATTAATGGTTCAAGCATACAACACCAGTTAATTTAAACACTGAAAAGCTCATTATCAGTATGATTCAGTATGATTAATAATGCTGATTCCAATTATTTATTTTCATAAAACAGTATCAATAATTCCAGTGGTCTTTAAATTATGTATTTCACTTCCACTTTCAGCTGTATATCAAACAATAAATGTATTTGGGTGAATATTGAATCATCACACTCTCAAGAATTTATTGAATCAATATTGAATTCAGTATAGTTCTGAATTCGCTACAACATATTTTCTTTTCTGCTTTTTTTTTTTTTTACCGCAAGTTCTGTGTTTCACGGATGTCGCATGCTTTTCAAGCAGAAACATTATCCCAGCTGTAACTCAATAAGCCAGGCATTGATCTGTTGTTCTGGCTCAGATGGAGAGAGATTTTAAGTGCATTAAAATCTGTTCTTTTGCTCATTGCCGCCTTCCATTCTTCTCCAAATACAGAGTAAGGCTCATTGTTCAGGCAGTCGGTGAAGAGAAAAAAAAGGCCAGAAAAACCTCACACTCTGACTGTAAGTGACGAGTCAATATTTGCCAGTGTTTGCTACCATTAGATTGTTATGAAATTTGTTTTTGCTGCTTTGATTTGAGATTCTGTGTGTCGGGCACAGATGTGGGGACATATGAAATAGCTTGAGGCAGGTGTGCGTCTAATTCAGAGGACGCATTTCCAACAAGAGTTTTCATTTTGTTATCGTATGTTACAATAAGTGGCAATCAGGTGCTGGAACTCGCCATTGTTAATGTTTTACTGAGTGCTTGTTGCAGATGTGGAAAGCATGGAAACAACAGAGCAATGTTCTATAAGATTAAATTAACTAAATTAGAGGTCGACCGATAGTGGACCGATAGTGGACCACACTGGCCGATACCGATTAATTAACCGATAGTTTTAAAATTGATACTGAACAAAAACTAAAATAGCGCTTTAACAAAAACAGTACTGAACCATACTAGTAGTAGTAGTAAAAAAAAATATATATATATATATATATTAATAGTAATAGTAAATGTTGAAATTAACACACTCTAACAAGGAACAATACTTACACAGCTTTCAT